AGTGGTAGGTGGGAGGTAGGTGAGCGGTAGGTGAACGGTATGTGAGATGTGGTAGGTGAGCGGTACCACATTACAAAAATACTCTTTTACCTTAGTTCAATAATTATGGGTCAAAATAACAATCATCTTTCTACTAACATAATCATATCTACTTATATAATTAATCTTAAAATTTCAAATCTTAACATCAAACACATATGATGAGTACAGTTTCCATCACCAGCTAAAACAACGAAGAAGCAGCTACAACCCCTTACGCGCAGCTAAAACAACGAAGAAGCAGCTACTACCCCTTACGCGCAGCTAAAGCACTCCCCAACTAACTATTGTGCAATGAACTTAAAAATCCCATTTTTATTATGCATAAAAAAATAGAAATTTTACATTGGGAAATCTTAATACTATTTTTCTCCCACTACAAATATACCCCCTTATAATTATAAGTGGATTTATATCATCCTTAGCCTACAAAACATGAATCACAGCGCTACTCCCGCCATCAACAACCTGAAAGCAACCTCCACAGGAGAGAAGACGATGAAGAACAGAGAAGAAGACTGACCTCCCCTTCTTCTTCTTCTTCTTCTTCTTCTTTTTGAGAATCATCTTCTTCTTATCCTCCTTTCCACTGACATAACTGATGTCATCAGAAAAACAATGAAGGTGATCAATGGCTTTTCTCTTGAATTTTTCAAAACACTTTATAGCTTTTTTTGGCAACGGCTCTTTCTTGGAGAAGGCATAGCTTCTGAGATAGAGTTGCCGACAGGAGAAGCTGTCTATTACTGTTGGGCTCGCCGGCGGCCAACATGCCCGGTTCTCAGTACTGAGGCTAACTGAAGATAGTGACCTGACAAACTCAGCGTCTGATTCTGCCCATTTGCGGAGATTAATATATGAAGAAGAAGAGGAAGAAGATGAAGGAGAAGGCATCTGCGAGTGAGGATTGTTCAGAGCTGATTAATCTTTGAGTACTCTTCTCGCCAATTGTGGCGATTTATAATGAAAGAGAATTAGAAGTTGAAGCTTTCAAACTTCAAATTATGGCCCATAATCGTTGTACTGAGGAATGGGATCAAATTTTTTTTGTTATAAATACTTTTATTTTTAAAATATATTTATTTAACGTATTTTAACATAGTTTTATTTTTTTAACAAATAAACACTGTTTGAAAAACACTCAAAATTAAAGTATTTTCAGTATTTTATAAAATAATTATTCCTTAATCAAATATGTCAAATATATTTACTTCAAATAAAAAAATGACTAAATATAAAACAAAATATAAAATTGATTCCAAATGAAATACATTCACTATTTGTTTTATTAAATAAAATTAAAGTTTGATTCAGGTGTGTGTGTAACTATATTAAATAAGAGAACTATTTAATTAAGCTGGTTGTATGGCGAAAAAAAATATGCTCGATGATAACATTATGAATCACATCACGATGTTGTGCCATGAAACACTTACATAACGGTTTAATGTAATCCACACTGACATCAGGGGCAAACAGAAGTTGGACGCTCGCTAGAGAAATAATGAACACTCAGTATTCACGTCTTCTTACAGCTTTTGTTCCAATTAATATCTCTTATAATGAGAAAATTTTCCCTGCAGAGTGCGCACAATAACATGTCGCCATGTGCTACATCGGGCCCACCTCATAAAATATTAAAAACATAAATTTTTCTGAAGTGAAACCGCGGAGGTTATTGGAACAGTTGACCGTTGAATTCATTGTTATTTCAGGGTTATTGGGTATTAACTCCAATAACGCCGCAATAACCCTGCAATAACCTTCGTTGTTCCATTTCAATAACCCCCAATAACTTTTGCGGTTCCACTTCAATAACCCCTTCTAATAACCCCTCAATAATATTATCGGTTCCACTTCAATAACTCTCTGCAATAACCCCGATAATAAACCCCCAATAAAACCCAATAACCTTTGTTGTTCCACTTTAATAACTTCTGTAAAAATATTATTTTCTTAATATTTTATGAGGTGAGCCGTTGTAGTAGATGTGATGACATATCACTGGAGTCCGCACGTAATGCTGCGTTGCGTCCTCACTCAGATAGAAAATTTTTTTCCTCTTATAATAAGCTTTGATAAGCGATCTGCCATTACGTGAGAGCTGACTTTTTCTAAGATGAATATATGACAATATTTACCTAAGAATAAATAAATGGCAGGTATATTTCTCCAATTACATGCATATAGAGTTAATTTTTTTTTAAAACGTAAAGACAAACATTTATTTTTAAAAGATATACGATATTGAAATTATATTTATCATATAAGAAACAACCATTTACAGAACCAACACCCTATTGATTCATTCTTTTTTTAAGAATTTTACTTGCAATAAATAACTTAACTGTATAACTAATGGTCTGAATGGGGCAGCTTATTTGGTACGGTGGTGTTTTGAAAACGCAGTTGATCTATTTGGGTAAACTATGTTTTGGCGGCTTATGCGTTTTCAAAACGCTGAAAACAATGTTTTCACACCACACCTGTCTAGGTGCGGTGACAGCTTTCTGGCTGCGGTCTGACTTTTCAAACAAAATAAAATTTGCAGTAGCCATCGCACCTAGCTTATCGACAGATTATTTTTAATCAGCTTATCAGTAGATTATTTAATAAGCTACAGCTGTCCCAAACATACCCTAAAACTCATCGTCCATTTGAGATTATTCTCATATTTTTTTTTTGCTGTTTTATGCTTTTATGATTTATTTTTTTTGCTGTTTACATATATATATATATATATATATCACCCTAAAAATTGCTATTTACAAATGTAGCACGCACTTCCAGTCATTTTTAAAATTCTCACAAAAATATCAAAATTCATGATAAAATCCCATTTTTAAGTAGTGATGGTTCAAAATTGTTGATGCAAGAATGTTGGAGGCGACTGGAGAATGTATCTGCAGAGGGGAGGAACTTCAAAACGGCGCAATCAATGATTTTGCTTTTAAACTTACTTCCTTAAAAGATGAGGCATCCTCAAATGAGATCTTAGTAGGATTTAGTAAATTATGTAGATTCAGATTTAGTAAATCCTGAAAGGTTAAATCCCAAAAATTATTTAACAATGAATTCAATAAATCTTGTTAAATCCTGTGAAATTATTTGATAATTTTTGTCAGGTTTTAAAAATTACTTATGATTGTTAGACTTTATCAACAAATCATAATTAGATTTAATGGATCATGTAAATTAGACTTTTAAAAAAAATCCAAAACAAACAAACTAATTAACTTCTAAAATTCAATTAATATGTAATTTCAAAATTGTTAATTGATAATAATATATTTACATAATAAAATTTTTATTTAATTAATAATTAAATCGAAATTTAATATTGAAAAAAGAATAATTAATTATAGCTATTAATAATTACTTATAAATTTATTGGATGAATAAGGAAATTATATTTATTTTTCCATTAATTAATAATTAAATAATAAGTAAATTTATTTAAGTATAATTAATCTGATAATATTTTAATTAGCCTTGCATAACAACAGCAATTATCAAACATTGCTTGACATAAAGAACTCGCATAGCAAAAGCCTTGCATAAACGAAATCTTCTTTGTCCCACATCGTTAAGGCTACACAGAAGGGAGCATCGTTGTTGTATAAAACAATCCGAAAATAATGTGCAAATCATACCTTTCTCGGCCTTTTGGCTAAGATCAAGTGTAGTATCTGTTCTTATCAGTTTAATATCTGATACGTGGGCCATAGGCTCACTATGATATTAAATTAATTTTTATTGGGGAAGGGCCCATTACAGTAGCTTGCTGCTGGGGCTCTTAGGCGTCGCTCTTGCGTTGCACTATTGCGGGAGCTTGGCGCACCCCTACCAAAGCATAGATAAAATTTTATAATCGATCAAATAAAATGTCTGTTTAGTTTTTATTTTCTTATAATTGCTGGATAAATGGTATAATTTTGGAAAAGCCTGTTATCAGCCTAAAACTTAGAACGCTAAAATATTTCATACAGTTTTAATATATCATTTATTTTTATTGAATCTTTAGTATGAAATTTTATTTATCTAAAATTTAAATATAATGTTTTAGCCGTCTTTTTTTAATGAAACATGTGAGTGTGAGCAGCGGTGTAAAGGGTGAGGAGGGGGGTAAACGAGTGGAGTCTACCAATAGTTTCACTACTCATATTTATCCTATAAAACAAAACTTTGCATTCAATGCCCATAAAAATAAGATTTTCTATCAGATATAACGCTACACAAACTACACAAAAACAGAAAAAGAAAAAGAAAAATGTGTCATTTATATACATTTTATTATAAAGTTAAAACACAGGGTCAAGACTGAGTTCATCTTCAATATCATCACCCTCATCAAAGAGCTTTAAAAATCGTGCCTGATCCTGTTCCCTTTTCCTCTTCTGCCAGTACTTGTAAGCAGCCACCATTCCAGCCATCACAATCAGAGATGCCAATGCACAGATTATCACTATGAGAGCCACATTTCGCTTACTGCGCTTTGTAGAAGTAATCTGGCCCTGCTCTTTCTCGGAATCTTTCACCCAAGACAACTTTTGATCAGATTCATCAAAGTACGGTTTTATCCTGAATTACAAGTCTTAACTGGAACGCAATACACATTTTTATGCATAGATTTAACGCTTCAAATGTCATGCACGTAAATATCAATGTTTAGGTGTGAGAGATGTAAATGCACAATATTGCATGCTAGAAGTTGCGTTATTTTGCACATCTGCCCGAAAAAAAAAAACATTATCTTGCACTTCAGAATAGAAAAATTCTAACATTTCATTGCATGCAAATACACATTTGAAGAGAAGTTTGAGAAATAAGCGGTATTCCGAGTTTGCCACAACTTCTATATTTATATATCAAATACCCAAAACTTTGAAATTTACATGCATGAAAACGTATATTGCATCTGTAACCCCAGAAATTCTTAATTTTACGTGACAGAAATATGCATGATTTTATCCTTCTAGTAAGCAGCGGGATCAGAAAGGATAATTTACAGGTGGATCATGGCTGCTGTATTAAAACACACTACAAGTGCTGAGAATTACAGAAAAGACTAGAAGAAAGTGAAGTTTAGGAACATATTTTTTATTGTATTAAAAAATAAACAATAAACATAAAGAAGGTGCATTTACATAGATACCACCCAAATCTTACAAATCAAATGAAAAATCTGCTTTTAAAATAGACCTTTTCATGCTTAAGTAAGATGGTGTGTATGTAAGGTAGTATATGCAAATACATAGGAATTGAGTGTCATGTATGTAAATCGTCTGAAAAAAAAGAAAAAAAAATCTAACCAGCAGCAGCATTGCAGAGAGGACAGATGAATGTTGCATTGAACTCATTCTCCTTAAAGCGTAGATATTTTCCATCAACAAAATCTGCTGCACAGAGCTCCCATTCATCGAAGACATCATCTGATTTAAATTTATCCTTTTCATAAAAACCACATCTCTTGCATTTTTGGTCGGGAAGCTCTGTTAGTGGCTGTAGATAAAAGCAAAATAATATAAAATTATTAACTTTCATGCTTGTTAAGCTCAAAGGACATAAAGGGTCCAAAGAGAAGTCATTCTGCAAATACGAAATTTGTGGTGGACAATAATGATAAAAGATGTGCAGAAGATTTAGCTTATATCTGCCTAAAGTCTGTCAAATACATAATGAAGGCTTCCATAGGTGGGAGGCCAATTTTGTTCTCAACAATAAAAAAGAAAAAGGCATCCACTATTAACTTTAATCATTAGTCATAAAAACAATAACAGAAGAAAAAAAAAAATTGTTACTATCATAAGAAGTATAACAAAATAGTAATTTCCAATTTTGAATGGAAAGAAACTAGCACCAAGAAAAATAACAAATTGAAAGTATAGTTAGAGACTTAGAGTTGAATAAAGCTAAATACCAAAAGAGGTAAGAGATGAAGGAATGATAGGGCAACGAGTAGGAATTGAATAGCTCGAGAGTGTAATGGTGATTGTGGGACTGACATGGAAGAGCACTAACACTCCAAATCTGATGGCCGAGATGCTACGATGCACTCCGAGAAGTTGGAGCAATGTAGAAAAAACGGCTCCAAGACAATCACCCAACGAGAATGAATGATGAGGGGCCGGCATTATTATTCAGATTTTTGTCAAAGTAGATTTACAAAGATGAATATATAACGTGAAAAAAATCAGTGATGAGAATCGACTCTTTAAGCAATTTACACAAAGAAACCTCTAGGGCTTGGAAGAGGTTGAACATAAGAAATGTGCAAAAAGTTGTTGAGAGAGTACATAACAAGTGTGAGCGGTTTAAATTGAGTAGCCATATAAGGTTTTAATAAGAAAAAACATAAAAGATGGACAAAATAACATTTTTGTATCCCCAATGTCAAGTTTGTTCGACACATGTTAGAACTCAAAATTTGGGTTTGAAACACTTCACAAAATTTTGAGCATGCCATGTACATGAACAAAACATCTATGTGGTCGGTCCATTGAGGTCTGTCTAAGTCCACTGATGCATGGATATATCTGTTCCACTAATTCAAGAGATAAGCATAAGGATACAAAATATTTATCCACTAAAACTATTTTTCTCTTCTTTTTTATCTCACTACTAATTCTCCTCTGCACACACGCGCGCGTGCAAATGCAAATAATCAGTTTATTTTATTTCACACACAATTTATGATATATTTCTAGTAGGCTTATTTTATTCACATGGTTAGATATAAACACAGAGAAATAAGGTAATTTATATTATATTCCTTGTAGGCTTGATTCTTTAGATTTAATTGTGCTTATTATTATAGCTTAGACAATAACTTTTTCTAACATCGAAAAATAATTTACTAAGAAATATATGACATTGTTCCCAAAATGCAACCACAAAAATGCTTATATAACTTGAACAACAGAATCTTTCAAATTCGTTAAACATGGCATACCAATGGTTCAGACCTGAAGTGGACGAAAGGACACATTAGGCATATAATAACTATTTTTATGATCATGCAAAAATGTCAACTATAAATCTAAGAAGAAAGAAAGTAAATGACATTCGCGGTCAAAATGACGATGAAATAATTTCACAACATCCAGTAGACACATCACCTGCCATGACTCTTCGCCCTTGAAATTATATAGAACATGTGTTTTCTTCACGTCCGGCAAAACAGTTTTGTTCTCTTCTCCTCGACAATGAAAATAGACAGTGGGTTTTGAAGGGAACCATTCATGAGCACTAAAAATTTCAATTGAACCAAGTGTAACAATATTCACAGAATCTGTTCCTGCACGAGTAATAGAAGCAACCATAAGTTCTTAAGAAAAATAAGGCAGCATATAATCTGAACATTTGAGCACTAAAAAAGATGATGGAAGGAGGCACTTCTTCCATTTTAATTCAAAAATAAATGATAGGAAGTATTTGCATACATATACTTGCTTCCTGTGTATTCAGATATCTAAAACCTTAACTTCAATTTTTACATACATACCACTTCACCTATGTATGAAAAGGTGTATTTCACATTTTAAAAGTTAAAATGGTAGTATTTTTTATGTGATTTGAAGTATTTAGGTGATATAAATATAAAATCCAAAGTTTAGGTAGTAGATATGTAAATACATAGGAATTGTGTGGTATGCATGTAAATGTCCCTAAATGATAATACATCCCTCACTTGCTACCTGAATGCTTTGTGCAACTAACATATAGCATGATTAAAACATAAGAATAAGTCATAAGAACTATCCAAATCTAATATTTCATATACTTCTACAAAATAAAATAAAAGAATACCTGGATATATATTTGAATAACCAAATACCAACCACCAATATGATACGCCTCCGTATTAAAATCAGTGAACAAAACACAACGAAACGACAATAGATAGGTGGAAGAAATACAAACAATGACTGGACTTAGAAAAACCAAAGGAAAACAAGTAAGATACATGGTTGATCTACTATTCGAGAGGTAGATTGTCTCTTCCACACCTTAGACGTCACTGGGAACACCACATGAAGAAAGGAAAATAACAATCACAACAAAATATACCTAAAGAAAGCAGACCCAAGGTTCACCCTCTTAATCGAATCCCCTTCCAGCATTTCAAAAACTTTCCTTCTCCACTTTCCCTTCAAACTCCTCTAATTCCTCCTTCTTGAATACGTGATTATGGCCATAGTGGACTCCACGCTCTATTGATTCGCTTTCGTTGTGTGCCTTGCTCGCTCCGCTCCTTCTGCGGCCCGCTCTACTCGTTCCGCTTCTTCACGTGACTCAGACCAGCGTACCTGTGGGCCGGTTATGTGGTTTCTGGCTAGTCCAGGGTGGACAGACACTATGTTGTGGGTAACATTAATTCCCTCCGAAACAAATACCTTGTCCTCAAGGTGGAAGGATGAAAACTACTTATGGATCACCTAGTAAGGCTCTCATGTTGTTGTATAGTCTGACAACCCATTTCACTTAACCAATACCTCCTTTGCTCCCTCTACCCCTCGACGCACTTCTTCGAACTCTAATGACTCCATAATCATCTCCAATCACCCATCTCAGTTGTAGCACATGAAAGATCAGTTGTAGTGTGGACGATGGTGGTAACCTCAGAAGATAAGCTAATGTCCCAATGCGTGTCAACATCTCATATGGTCCAAAGTATTGCGGTGAAAGTTACTCACTCCTCCGTCTAGCCAATGTCTTTTATCGGTAGGGCCTCAGTTTCAAGTAGATCATTTCCATTGGTTGAAACTGCACCTCTCTCCTATGTTCATCTGATTTACTCTTCATGATTTATTGAGCTCTTAGTAAATGCCCCTTGAACTCTGTCAGTAGCATGTCCCTCTCCAAATATTGATCGACACAAGATATCGATATGATACTATGTACAAAATATATTAAGTGAGGTGGATCCCACCCATATAATATCTTGAAGGGGTCATATGTGCTGAGGTGTGGTATGAAGTATTGTACAAATATTATGCCCATGCAATCCACTAGCCCATAACTTCAATATATCAGATACAAACAACGCAGGTATGTCTCCACGCTCCTGTTGACAACCTCATTTGCCCATCAGTCTAGGGATGATATGTTGTGCTTCTTTTAAAGGTTGTCCCTTGCAACCTGAATAGCTCATTCCAAAAGTAGTTGAGGAATATTTTGTCTTTATCCGATACAATTGATTCTGACACCCCATATAAACGGACCACTTTTCGAATAAACAACGTCGCGATTGAGACTGTCGTGTAGAGATGTCATAAGTGAATGAAATGTGCATATTTAGTCAAGCGGGCCATGACTACCATGATCACCGTGAACTATTCTGACCGTGGCAATCCCTCGATGAAATCAATTGTCACTTCTTCCTACACCTTCCACGGTAATGCTAATACTGCAGTAACCTTCCTGGAACCGTGGACAAGTATTTGTCGCTGACATATATCACATTTTGCCAACATATCCTCGACATTTCTATGCATCTCCACCCAATAAAGTTTTGCCGCCAGACGATTGTAGGTCTTCTACATCATCGAGTGTCCCCCGATCGCATTGTCATGAAACTCCTATAATAATATGGGAATATACTTCGATGTGTTGGATAGCATGAATCGTTGGTGGAGTAGCTGCTGCCCCCTCAAAAATGCATATCCTGGATGACTGTTTGGATCCTATAGTATCTCAGCCTTTATCTTGCTTAGCTCTTCATCTTATTCACTTTCATGTTTCAGGGCTTCCTAATCTAGAACCAAGGTTACCGATAGGGTCGTCAATTGGGGCTCTTTCATCTTTCTCGAAGGTGTGTCAGCGGCCTTCTTTTACAATATGACTGGAACTGAATCTTGAAATCATACCCCAATAACTTGGTTAGCCATCTCTGATGCTTCTTAGTCACCATTCGTTGCTCCAGAAGATACGTTTAAGCTCCTCTAATATGTCCTAACCAAAAATTTCGTCTCAATAGGCAAGACCATCATTTCTGAATGACCAAGAAAATTACCATTAATTCTCCTTCATATACTGACTTTAGTGTCACTCTGGTCGTTAGAACCTGACTGAAGCAGGCAATCGACCACTGATCCTGCATGAGCACAACTCCCAATCCGTACCCCGACGCATCTGTCCCCACCACAAATGGTTTATAGAAATCTAAAAGTGCTAATATTGGTACGCCGGTCATATCCCTCTTCAGAAGTTCAAATGTCTGCGTTGTTGCTTCCTCCAATTTGAAATTGTCTTTCTTCAACTGCTCAGTCAACGACAGACTGTCGTGTCATACCCTCTCACAAACTTTTGGTAGTAACCCGTGAGTCCAAAAAATCCTCTTAACTCCTTTAAATTCCTTAGTAAGGGCCAATCACTCATAGCTTTGATCTTGGACTGATCCACTGCTGCCCCATTCTAGTCACCACATGTCCCAGGTACTCCACCTATAAGTGTGTAAAAGAACATTTCTTCAAGTTAGCAAACAACTGGTGTTCTCTTAACGTATCCAGGACTGTCCTCAAGTACCCCATATACTTTGTCTCTATACGACAGTAGATCAAAATATCATAAAAGAAAATCAGGATAAATTTTCAAAGATAAGATTGAAAAACCCTATTCATGAGCGATTGAAATGTCGTTGGGGCATTGGTGAGACCAAACGACATGAATAAGAACTCATAATGTCTTTCATGTGTCCTGAATGTTCTCTTATGCACATCCACTGAATTTATCCTAATCTGGTGGTTACCTGACTTAAGATCAATTTTTGAGAAAATAACTGCACTATAAAGTTCATCCAGTAACTCATCAATCACAGGAGTAAGAAATTTGTCGAACACCGTTTTTTTGTTCAAAGCCCGATAGTCTACGCAGAATCTCCAACTGCCATTTTTTTCGTCAACAGAACGAGACTGGAGAAATTGCTCACACTAGGTTTGATAATTTCAGCCTCAAGCATCTCTCGCATTAGCTCTCTATCTCATCCTTCTGAATCTGGGGGTACTTGTATGGTCTGATGTTGATGGGAGAAACACCATCCTTCAATGTAATAACGTGCTCATGCTACCCAAGAGAAGGTAACCCGCTTGGCTGCTGGAAGACATCAGTAAATTGTTGTACAAGATGTTGGACCCCTTTCGGAAACTGTCAGTTCTGATTCTTGTATCTCCTCGATGCTCTGCAACTCCACAAGTAACCCAGTCCCGCTCGCCGAATCGATTGACCATAGTTTTAAGCGACACTATGATTTTGCATAAACTAACATCTTCTCTTAACACCACATTCCTACTCTCCACTTGGAACTTCATTGTCAAGGATTTCCAATCCACCTTCATTTCTCCCAATGTTCGTAGCAACTTCATTCCCAAAATCACATCTGTGTTGCTCAAATCTAAAGAAAGTCTTTTACCACCTTAGTGTAAGTTATATAGTGTCAGAACCAACCCAATTTCCCAACTTTTCTTCACCTTCCCTATCCCGATTGTGATACCGAAGCTCCCTGTAGCCACAAGCTTCAACCCTAGTTTCTCCACAACCTTCACTTCAAAGGCTTTTCTTTCTTAGAATTTTTGTCTTTCATCTCCCAACTCAAAACTACATTCTAAATGCGTGTTACTCATTTTCTCCTTCATTCTCCGCATTAATCTAATTCACTCCTTCTCCTTCCCTTTACAAGTGTTCACATTACAATAATAAATGCTCAAGTTGCCATAACGATGGAATGTACCATTTTAAGAAAAAAACTTGAAGCATGCGATACTAAGGTTCACAAGTACAGGTCAATATATTATTAGTATTATTATCTTTTTTTTTAACCAACCAAGCCAGGGATTTAATTTTATAAACTTTGATCCAAACAAAACATTTAAATTATTCAATTCATTAATGTTCCCAACAATAAGAATGAAAGTTGTTACCAACACGTCTGGCTTCCCATCAATAAGAAATCTAAGAAGGGGATAATATTTCAAGTCTTAACCCTGCATTGCAAATAAGTTATTTTCATGAAAATTCTATGAATCATGAATACAAAAGTATAAAAAATCATTCATGATTCATTCTAGGGTGTAAATGAGTTAAGCCGGGCTCGAGCAATACATAACTTGAACTCAACTTATTTATCAAAATACAAGCTCAGACTTGAGTTCGAGCTCAGCTCACGGTACTAACAGCAGGCTCACGAGCCAACTAATGAGCTTGAAAGAAATTGCCATGAGAGTTAACTGGAAAAGCCATCTGAGTGATCGGAAGTGAAGGAGAAGTGTGACAAAACCTCATTGCTAATATCA